TTTCCTTTTCCTTTTCCTTTTCCTTTTCCCTGATACTAGTCAGTTGGTTGTCTCACCCAAAAGCTGTCTTCTGCAGGATTTAGAATTCTGTCTGTGTTAATCCACTTTTTGAAGTGGAGGTTAATGGGAAAGAATGGTTTGTGGTGTTTTCAGAATGCTTGTATTTCTATATATCCGTGCCTGGAAGAAAACCAGTGTTACACTCAAGATGCCCACTGTTACCTGAGGACATAGAAGATTTGGACGTCACTAAAAATGTCCAGTAGAGGAGAAGAAATAATTGTGTGAAAACTCTTGGTCCCTCTAGATGAAAAAAAGTATTTTCTAGTGATTGTCACTAAGAAATATTATTAAATATCTTAAAAATTGCTGAAAACCAAGAGAAAAGTATATACTCTTAGAAGTGATTTTATTTATTGGTCCCTGGTAGGTCTCAGTTTGAGCTGTTTGAGTGCACTCTTTGGGAAATTGTACCTTAAAACCTACTTTGAGAGTGGCTGTGGAAATCTGCTGCTGTCTTATCAATGGGATTCTTGCAGAGAACGTGCTTTCCATCAGCTCTCAGATGAGGTATCCAGAGTGAGATGTGCTTATTTAAAAACACTTTTCTCCTTTTTTTGTTACAACTGTTGTTCTGAAGGTCACTGTTCCTACTGCAAGTTGCGTCGCCAAGTTTTTCTGCAAGGAATTTTTAGGGGACAGTGAATTGGTGAGAAGTTTTGTTTGTTTCTGAGATCAGCACTTTAAAACCTTTTGACGTTTTAAAAATTTGACTTTTACAACCTCTTCTGGGTTGCTAGGTTTTACTTAAAATTGATCCTTACATTAATGTTATACCATGCTTAAACTCTGAAAAAGATTTAATTAATTTGAATAAGTAAAGGTTTCTGTCCAGCTTCTGCACTGACTAGTTCTATAGTATCAGTATGTTGCTGACAGATGCAGTCAAAATGACTGAAAGACTGTAAAAATACCAACAGAATGAAATTGATTTTCAAAGACAATGTCCTGTGAAGGTATCCAGATTGAGTCCAACGTAGAGATTCAAAAATGCCATCAGGCTAACTCATGATGGGGCATCCTTTCTTGCTAGCGCTTTTACCCTTAACACAGAGCTCTGTAAAACTGTCCATTGTGTGAGATAAATCATTATGTATCTGGCACGCAAAAGAGAACTAACTGACTCTAGAAGTACTTGTTTCATGGCTAATTCATGCTGTGATATACATATTTTAATTGAATTTCCTTGAAGGGAAGCCAGAGCTGGATATCCAAGCATTGTTTTCTGTAAGCTATTCTCAGCCTGCATGCCAGCAGTCAACAAACACTGTTCAGTTCATTTCGATTTGAGCACTGTGAATACCATTTTGGCCTAAGTTAGAGGAAGAGAAAAGCTCAAGCAGAGAAGCATTTTAAAATAAAAGAATTAAAGTGGGTTTTTTTTCTTACCCAAAAGGTAGAAAAGACAGGGCAATCTTAATCTATTTACTGTTAGGCTGCACAATCGACAGCCTGATTGCTTTGCAGTTTCACTGGCTGGAACCCTTGGAAGGAACATACCTCCTCAGGTGCAGAAGAGGGTGGGAGTTGGAGAGAAGTAAAGCTTCAATGGGTAATGTTGCTTAAAGTTTTTTGAGAGGGCAGAGTTTCTCATTAAAAAACCCACCCAAAACCAAACAAAAACCCCTCCATAAAATAGATCATCCAAGCAGGCTGCTGTGATAAATGATCACAGATATTTGAGTAGTCTGAGCTGATGGAAGTGAGTCATCAGCTGCCTGATTACATGTAGAGCTTGGTGATTTCAGGGGCATGTTTTAGTGTGGGGAGTATAGAATACTTCTGTAATGGTGTTTGTCAAAAAGGATATTACAGGTTTTATGATGGTGATGAAGAAAATAGGATACCCATCCAGATCCTTTCTTCTGCTGTCACTCTCCTCTTTACATTATTTGAGACTTGAATGCTGGGGAGGTACATATACAGTGTGTGAAACATCTAATGGAAGTGAAAATTGAGATTGGCAGAGCTTTACTATTTATGATATTAGTTCACAGATAAAAATTCCTTAGCCATGATGAACAAGCAGAAATTAAGGTGTGGGATTTTTCTTCAGCTGAAGGAATCTTTTGCTTAAGAAGTAGTTATTCATATCCTAAACTAGCATAGAAGTCTCATAGTAGAAGACTATTCAGAGTTTTATTTGAAGTTAACTGGAAGTACAACCCCCTGAATGGGTATTTCAAAAGCACCTATAATACTACGTGCTTATCTTGAACCTTTCATACATGGAAATCCAAGTGCATTATGAGTGGAAGGGAATTTTTTTATTGCCTACAGATGTATGGACTTGAAAGAGTGGAGGGAAAATGCACAATACCACCCTGTAAAATGACAGTAAGTCTTTTGCTCTGTGCCTTATGGAGTTGCTTCCCTTTTTTTCTCCACCGGAGAAAACTGGCTGCTTCAGAACAGTCACTGCTGTTAACTGCCTGCTGTGGTTTGATTTTTGGTTATCTCTGTGGCAGGGGTGACAATATGAGGAATTCCTTGCATGATATGATCCGATATATGATCCCGTATATGTCACAGAAGCATTTAATTGTCATGACCGTTTGTGTAATTTAATCTTAAGGTGAAGAGAAATGAAAATACAGTATTGTTTTGTCACAGACAGCAGGGGAAGGCATGATAAGTAACTCAAGGGATACTTCATGGAATATTTTTTCCTTTTGAAACATATCATGTCTTTATGTTCACTAAGTCTTGGTTTTTACTTCATTTACTGTGCTATATTATCCATGGGCTTCTAGCCTGAATGTGAGTCACTTCTAAGTGAAGGATCCATCCTTTGGAAGGACCTATCTGCTCGTGTAAGATCAAGGCTGGAGCAGACTGTGAGGTAGGAGTTGGTAGTGCTAACACTTTTCATGCTGCAGATGGTTGACTAAGGTCTGCTTATCAGAAAGTAAGGAAAAATACCTGTCCTCATTGTGCAGCTGGGAGCTTTTGCTTGAGCACATACCAGTCTGTACTAGCAAGCTGTCCTCGTACAGTATCTCTGCCCAGTGATGTCTGAGTAGAGGCAGGCAGCGCTATTTACAGTGTGATTAAGTGACATCAACAGGAACTGTAGGACTACTCCACTCTTGGGCTGTTTTAGGACCTTTCTTGCTGTAGTGATTTTCTGCTTCTCCCAAGCTACAAGTCTCAGCTGATCATGAGGCTGTTGGCTGGATCTCAGCTTTCTTATTCCAGCTCTCTTGGCTGTGACTAGAAATGAAATCTGCTGTATGTTATGTTATGGTACCAATTTCTTGTGTACTTTTTTTAAGTTTTCCATCCCTTTGTTTTGAATGAGAGATACCATTTCCTAAGTCTACTTCTGTAGCATTGTCATTATTAACACCTAAGGAGACAGTGAAGAGCTTGGGAAAGAGAAATGGAAAACACTCCATCCTTTTCTTAGCTCTAAGTGAGATAAATCAAAACTTCTGAAGTCAGAAGACTAGCTAAGAATCCATCTGCCTTTTTTCATTGCAGTATACATGAAGTGCAAGATCTGAACCTGCTATGACTGACCCAGACGTCCTCACTGAGGTCCCAGCAGCTCTCAAACGCCTTGCCAAATATGTGGTGCGTGGCTTTTATGGCATTGAACATGCTTTGGCTCTGGACATCCTCATCAGGAACCCCTGCGTGAAGGAAGAGGACATGTTGGAGCTCCTGAAGTTTGATAGGAAGCAGTTGCGGGCTGTCCTCAACACCCTCAAGGGTGACAAGTTCATCAAATGCAGAATGAGGGTAGAGACAGCTCCAGATGGCAAAACCACCCGTCATAACTACTACTTCATCAACTACCGCCTTCTGGTTAATGTGGTGAAATACAAGCTGGACCACATGAGGAGGAGGATTGAGACGGATGAAAGAGACTCCACCAATCGTGCTTCTTTTAAATGCCCCATTTGCTTCAGCACATTCACAGACTTGGAAGCCAACCAGCTGTTTGACCCCAGGACAGGTAAGAGTACATACAGGTAACAGAATGCTCTCGCTCTCTCCTTTGTCTGTAAGTGCTGGACTTTAAGGAAACAGAGTCTTAGGAAAATTCTCTTTGAGTTTGGCCAGAGCTAGAGGGCACTCTGTTTCTGCAGGTGATGAATGTTTGAGCAAAATACAAAAGTTTTCTACAAAAATAAAAGAGCAGAAGTCAGGAGAGCTCTCTGAAATGTTCAAGTGTGGTGCTTTGTGGCAGTTATAATAACAAACTGTAAAAATTCACTGTTTAGTGATACTGGAGTTTTTAATCGAGGTCAAATCTGCTTTGGCGAAGGGCAAACACCCAACAAATGTTCAGCCTATCATTTTTCCTCTTTCCTGCCTCCAGAGATCAAGAGCTGTGAAACTCCTTTTACTTGAACAACCATGAAAATGATATTTAGTACTAGAGAAGCAGAATCCACTAAGCCAAGTAACAGTCATTGCTGTAATCCTGAGCAGCTCTCCGAGTAGAAGTTGCTCCCTCATGGAGCACCAAAACCAGCAGTGCCAGCACAGGTTTTTTTTATAGTCGCCAGTGAGTATAGAAACTACACGTGCTCTCTACAGTAATGATCGTCTGTGGCAGCTACAGTTGTGGGTGTCAGGCTGAAGGGGAATAGTGTTTTTGCAGTTTGCTTCAGTAGGGAGAGAGTAGAGAACCTGTGCAGAAAACAAATGTAGTGTGGAGTGTGAGACACTCACAGAATCATAGAATGGGTTGGGTTGGAAGGGACCTTAAAGATCATTTAGTTCCACCCGCTCTGCCATCAGCAGGGACACCTTCCACTAGGTGTGATAAAAGCTTCATCCAACCTGGCCTTGAACACTTCCAGGGAGGGGGCATCCACAGCTTCTCTGGGTAACCTGTGCCAGTGTCTCACCACCCTCACTACAGGAAAGAATTTCTTCTTATTATCTCATCTAATTCTCCCCTCTTCCAGTTTAACGCCGTTACCCCTTGTTCTATCGCTCCCTGCCCTTGTCAAAAGTCCCTCCCCAGCTTTGTTGTAGGCCCCTTCAGGTACTAGAAGGCCGCTAGAAGGCCTCCTTTGAGCCTTCTCTTCTCCAGGCTGAACAGCCCCAACTCTCTCAGCCTGTCCACGGTTGGCCTTCTGGGCTGCAGGCACACATTGCCAGCTCATGTTGAGCTTCTCATCTACCAGTACCCCCAAGTCCTCCTGAGGGCTGGTCTTGATCTCATCCCAAGGGGACCTGTAACACTTTTCAGGTGAATCCCCTGGCCTGTGTGGGCAGTGAGTTCCAGGGGCAAAGAACTGGCTGTCGAGGAGATGCAGAAGACAGTGATGCTGGGATTCAGCTTTGACAGCAAGGCCTGTGCTCCAGAAACTGATGAGGTCAACCAAAGGTTTGTCTGCAGTACGGGCACTGACTGTCTGCACAACGCAAAATCATTCACTGCCACACAGTGTTTTGCTGATGGAAAGAAAGGTTAACTGCTGTTTTCCCAGCAATTCCCAGCGGTTGGTTTCTGTCAGTATTAATGTAAATAACAAGACAGCCAGTTTACCTTCAGTTACTTTCAATAAGAACATACCTGTCTAGTATTTATTTATATTCTGTTTCTCCTTATATAAGGTTTAAGTCAATTAAAACTTTGTTTAGACATTACATGATGATACTGTTGTTTTTCAAGAGTTTTTACATGGAATAGCAGTTTGGATAGAGCTCTCCAGTTATTGTTTAAGAAGGTCTCATGCTGTTTTCAAACCACGAGATAGGTGCTTGTTTCCATTCTGGGTGAATAAGTGGGCAATTTTGTTTGGTTTTTGATTTATTATTTTTTTTAATTGAGAATGGCCGCTTTATATTGCAGTGGATTGTGTTGTCTGCATGTTTCCTGCTCCTCTGGAATTCTGTATTAGAAAAGAACTGAGGCACCTCTGGATCTCTCACAGAGGGGGCTTGTGAGGACAAGGTGTGCAGAGGAACAAGGTTTGTTAGACAGTGAACAGCCATCCTTTTCCAAGGATGTCTTTAGCCCTTATCAGCGTTATAACAAACCTCTCCGGCTCACTCAAACTCCTGGCAGTCCGACTGCTGAAGGGTAGCTGAAAGCCACATGAATTTCAGTCACGGTTGACCTGAGCCGCTCCTGGACTGCAGCCATGTTGATAAAATTTTGTGAATTAAAGGAGCTGCAGGGCCAAAGTCAGTCCATGGAGCAGGTAGAGCATGGAAGGTGTCCTCTGCACTAGTCTAGACCAGGCTGCACTTAAATTGGCAATTTGTTGTTAAAAGACATCCTGTGTCGCTGTCTGCTTTTTGTCCTTGTCACTCAGAGATGGGGATGGTTTGGATGTCCTGTGTTTTCTGCTTGGCTTTCCTCTTCCCTAGTTACAGCTCAACTGCAAACTCTGAGCAATTGTTTAGAGTGAAAGGGTTAGAAGAGGAGGTTATTGCTCTTGCCCTTCCTTTTCAGTGACGGTCAGGAGCTTTCCAGAATCTCACCATGACTGTAGTCATTCTGTTGCAGTTTGTGAATTAAGAGTGCTTGTGAAGAGCCTGTCCATAAGTTGGATCTGTTGTGTTATTTGAATTTATCACAGCATCTCTGTCTGTCTCTTGGCTTTAGCAGAGGTCTGTTTCTTAGAGGTTGCCAGCTGTCAAATGGAGGCTTTTTTAGCTCTCTGCTTTACTCTGTTTGTGAATAGTTTTGAAATAAACTAAGGTGGTTTTTTTTCATCAGAAGATGTTATTATTGGTGTTTTTGGAAGGTGGAAATGTGTCTGCTGAGAGAACATAATTGATAGTAAGAAGGGTGTGTTTCCAGGGCACAGAGGTATAGATGTGCTTTGATTGCTGTTCATCCAATTAATTTGGAAAAATATTTTTTAATATAGTAGCAAGTGCGCCACTAAGGCAATTTTAAATGTAGATTTTAAATGTTACTAAATGTTACTAAAAATAGATTTCAAATGTTACTTTGAGAGTGCGATCTCTCTGTTTTTAAAAGTATTATGAGATTTCTCTCCATCTCTTTTTCTGCCATTGTACATCTCAACCCAAAAAAGTTCCAAAAACTTACTGTGCTGTCAAAGGTTGAACAGTTGTTGCCTGGTATTTGTAGGAAGTTCAAGGACAGGAATTGTGTACTATTAAAGAAACTGTCAGATGGTTAAAGTCAAGGTGATGAAAAAAATAGAGAGTTTTGCTGCTTCTTCAGCTCACAAAGGGGGGATCTTTTGAGAAGTGAAAAGAAACACGTGTTGTGTTGGAGGAGTCACTTTGTTGTATGACCAGTGAGTGCCTGCTGGCTCTCAGCATGGTGTACCCAGGTCTTGAGTTTTAGCCACATCTGTTCTCAGTGAAGAGCTTGAACAGATCTCCAGATTTTACTCTTTCTCCTCAGTGTTAGTTTTTACTGTTGCCTCCAAAGAAGCAATATCAGTAACTTCTGCTTTAGAGGCAAAGGGCTTGGACAGCGTGCTTTTATTTTGCTGAAGTTTGATGTGAAAACTTGTAGCAAAGCTAAGAAGAACTTTCTGATTTCAAGAGGTCGCAGATTTGCGGTTTGCTTCTTGACCTGGCAGTGCCTTTGGGAGGAATTGGTGCAGGCTTGGTTGTTACAGGCTGAGCAGGCCATTCTTACCCACTTTTATGAGTGTTTTGAGATCTACAGAAAGAAAAAACACTAATGCTCTATGAATGAAGGGTGTTACTTGTAGCCTTGTCTTTCAGATGGGGTGACTAAGAGAGGAAAAAGATGACAGTTTTCCTGGAAGATCCTGATATAAGCATTGAAATACAGATCATTGGCTTTCACTTGTGCCATTGTCTGCTGTCTAGCTGTCCTCTGATATTTCATTGCTTTGTTCTGCATGCTAGCAATGATGTGCTGCTGCTGTTGTGATGAAGCCTTGTGCAGCTGGAAAGCTGCAGCCATTCCCTTAAACAAGGTAAGGGCTGTCTCTTGAGACAGGGATGTACAAGAAAGAGTTTAATTGAGTAGCAGTAAGAAAAGCCAGATATTAAGTGCATACTGTGAATAATACTGCTGAACTCTGTATATTCACAAATCTGGGCTGACAGCAGACACTGATATAAGGGACACTGGGTTTTCAAGTGTTTCACCTAGAGATAGGATGTTACTTCATCAGGCTCTTACACAGATCTATGGGAATAATTTCAGTCTCTGCTTTTAAACATAGAAACTACAGAAATTTGGTTTCTGTAGGCTAATTCCTGAAATTGCAGAGTAATCTAAACAACACAATACAATCCTGTGGATTGGATTAAAAACGAATAATAATATTGGAGAATTAAATATGCAGAAATCTCTTCTGTGGAGTGTGGGGGAAGGACAGGAGGAGCTGCATTGTCTGCCCCAGTAGAGGGAGCTGTCTTCTTTTATCTATAATGTGGGCTTGGGTTGATTAATTTACTGAATGTCACAAAACTGGAAATTATATGTAATTATATGTTAAAAATGTGTATTCTGTAGCGTGATTAATTGGCTCTGGTTGGGGAAGGTCTCTCTGCCTCCTGTTTTCATACCCTAATCATATTTGTGTGATTAACTGGATTTGGTTGGGGAAGGTCTCTCTGATGCCTCCTGTTTTCATACCCTAATCATATTTGTAAATCTAGTGTAGCGTTGGAGTTGACTGTCAAATTCAAGGTCAGTTTGAAAGAAAGTGTGTGACTAGAAACCACAAAAGGGAGAGTGGGGTTGAAGTGAAAGAGTGACAGAAACGAGATCCTGCAGTGCATCACCATGTCTGTTATTCAGCCCTGGATTTCCTTGGGTATTCTAAATACCACACTATATCAGGATATGTACCAGCATAGCAGGTGAATTTGATGTTAGCAAGAAAATATAAGGCTAAACAAAGTAGTTTTTCCTCTGCTCCCTTCTACCTTTGCAATATAATTTTTTATCCAGTTTCTTTCACTTTTGTTACTGTGAAGAAAAATCTTGATATTGACAGTGTATTATAATCACAGTTGGTCTCTTACATG